GGTATCTCATAAAAAATAAAAGAAGACTGGGGCATTCAAAATGCCTGGGTTCACATTTTTCTATTGTTAGTTTAATGTATAACAGTGACATAAAACTAAATTTGCTTCTAAATATTTACTTTAAAATTGGGTATCACATATTTAGGAATGATGCAAAAATAAAAGCCTACCACATTTTCAGAATTTTATTTAAAATTGTTTATGTTTTCTGCAGTGCTGAACAGTGTACTAAGGGATTCATGCATTCGAGGTAAGTGTTCTACCACTGAGCAAGATTCCCAGTTCTTAATCTTAAGTTTTTAAAAATGTAAAGCTGGGAAAAGTAAATAATACACTGGAAATATTAAAACTACATCGATGAGAAATTTAGCAATTTTTTGTTAGAGAGCTTTTATTAATTCATACATCTCTGAAAGTCTAATTGTCTATCTACTTACACCTATCAATACTTTGCAATGGTATTATGTAGGATAATTTCGTATGATGCCGATCATTTGACTTCTTGTTTCTCTAACGTCAAAGCATTTCTAAACGAGACATTGTCTATGGATTTTACAAATCAGAACAAAGATAAATATCTCATTTAGAAAATGGGGACATTTTCTAAGCTCACAAATAATTCTCCTACCTTTTGAGGTACTCCTCAATGAAATTAGAGGAGACGACGTAATTAGAGATGACAGAACAAGAGACGGAGGGCAGAGCTTGGTGACACAGCTTGTTAAAATCCTGGAGAACCCAGTTCAACCTCCAATGCCCAAAACAAATCGTCTTTAAGGATCTAAAATAAAGTGGTCATTCTAACTTGCAGATATGAAAATTCACAGGAAAAAATCAATAGGAAGAACCTGTTACATATAACATGGGTGAGTTGAGAATGCAAAGGAGATGGAACAAGATGTTTTGTTTCCAAAGTGTGACGCTGTTTACATGTGTCTGCCTGTGTTCACATGTGGTAAAATCCAAAGAACTGTGCGCCAACGAAAGGAAGCCAATTAAATAAGGTGACTAATACAATCAAAGTCTAGTATAATACAAGGACAATTTGGGAAAAGACTGAGAATTTGGATATAAAATGAAAACCTTTCATTGGCAGTAAACAGCATAAGTAAATAAAAAGACAAACTGTTAGAGCACCTGGGACTTATGCCGCAGGAAAATGAATCACAATTCAAACACAAAACGTGTTTTTGAATGCTGTAAAATAATTGAAAAGCAAAAATAAACGTGCTACAGTAAAATGGGTAGGAGAAATGAATAACAATACACACACCAAAAACAATCTAAATGATGCTATTTATATAAAAATCCATTCAACTTCACTAATAATAACAGAGAACCGATTCCACATTACATTAAGACATAATTTCAGATATGCAAATTGGCAAAGACCCACAAATTTGAATGAATGACTCAAGAGCCATGCTCTCTGAAATAGGTATTTTTATATAGTTTCTGGTTCAAATGCCAAAGTGATACTCCTTACGATGGGCAATTAGAAAGCTCCTTGTGTCTTTCGTTTTCACAACAGTAATCTCACTATTAGGAGTCATCTTGAACACATATCTCCCGAGGTACAAAGAATAATTAAAAACTGTTCATCAACATATAGCATATCCTTACAATGGGAGACAATGAGAGAAACAAGAAAGGGTATCTGTATGTTGCTTCTGGGTGACATCTTGAAAATATATTTTTAAAAGCAAACAATGTAAAAAATGTGTAGCAATGTATGCCATTTTCTCTTCCCAAAACCAAACTAAATGATAATTTTTTTTGAAATTATATCTAGTGAAGATAATGAGGACAGGACATGAATGTGGTAGGTACCTTGTGTGAAGTGCCCTGAGAATATGGTTCTCCCTTACAGCTCCCATTTAGGGAGGAGGAGGAGGAGGAGGGAGGAGGGAGGGAGGGAAGGAGGGAGGGAGGGAGGGAGGGAAAACGGAGGGTAAAATTTAACATTTGCCCTAGTGAAATATGGAATGTCTGGAATATCACTGATTCCTACGTTAGTCATTTTCCAAAGCCATCAAGATAGAAAAGAACTTGTAAGGAAGAGGACATTAATTCCAAAAAGTGAAAAATGTGTTATTTCTTTGCTAATTTAGTAAGATTTGTTTGTATAAATCTGAAGAAGTGCTTCTGAAGTTTGTAGATAAGTTAGATTAAATATAAATAATTCTGCAATACAATTATTAAGACACTGAACTACTATTTAATGAACTTTCTGGGACACACACACACACACACACACACACACGCACACACACACACACACAGCCTCTCTGTCAATTCCATGAGTTTTTTTTTTTCATTTGACGGTTGAAAACAAGAAATGTTGACTGTGTCTTACTGTGTTTTCCTCCTGTGACTCCTGATTGAATTTGCATTTAGTAAAGCTGGTGGAAATAACCTGCATCCCTCAGTTTTGTATGAGGAGAGTTTGAGATAGGATGGGATGTTGCAACTCCTTACTACCCTTTCATCCTGTGCTTATTTTTCCACTCACTTGAAATGTTCAATTAATAAAACAATAATAATCTGTAACATTCTGCTTGTTCACACATACCTTTATATTCTCTAAGAAGCAGTGTCTTTGCCACTGCTACAGAATAGCTTAAACTTTGCACACTCAACATGGATGATTCTCACACTCGGAAGTCAATAGATACATGTTCCCTTTAGTTTACAGACTGGAAACAAATAATAGAGACAGGGACTTTTAAAGAGAGCTACCTTGAAACTCCACTCTGTCATACAGTTGAAAAGGGGTTCACATAAATGACAGCTTCTATGTTTAAAAAACAAACTTTGACCCCTATCTTCATGAATATTATCTGATGGTGATAGTATGCTGCAGCTCTTCTTCTTCCTTAAATAAGTTATTAGAATGTTAAACTGTCCACATAGCTTGCTGCTTTTGTAAAGAAATTGACTAACTGTATGATTACCGATTCATACTTTCTGTTTCAGAGACAGTTATTTCTCCTTTTTACACGGAGATAAATTTACAACATTATGGAAAATATAAAAGCCAGGTTATTTGGCACATTGAAGCAATTAGAGGGTTCGTTGTAATGAAGATGGAGTCCATGTTCGAGGGGAGGAAATATGAACGGCATGGACATATGAATGGGGGAATGAGGGCAGAATTTGAAATACAAATTTAAAATAAAAATGTGATTTCTGTTGGAAATCCCTTAGAGGCACAGTTATCTGTCTGCTCTCTTTAATTTGGCTGGAAGAAAGGGAAGTTGGAAAGTCCTTATCTTTAAATGAAGGCCAATTGCATTTCTCAGATGATCTTTGAATATTTCAGACAGTTGACCTTGCCAAAGTAAGGGAGGGGGTGAAGACCAAAAAAGTGTGTGTGTGTGTGTGTGTGTGTGTGTGTGTGTGTGTGTGTATGTGTTGTAGGGAAGGAATGAAGGAAAACAATGTGAGTTTGGGAGTCCACTCCCTTCTCCTTCTACCATGTATGGGACCTAGGATCATCATCAAGCTTGTCAGCATGTACCTTTATATGCCAGGCCATCTGCGTCTGTGAGAATGTCTTCTAAAAGGCCTGTATAAAGGAATGTGTCACGGGCCTACCTAAGTTTGAGGATTTGAGGGGAGAGTACCTGGACTTTCTTAAACTGGTATCATTCATGCCACAAAACCCACTGCCCCTGTGTAGGTCCTACCCAACTCCAGTCATAACGCACACTAAAAGAGAATTCCTTTTTTTTTTTAAATTAGTTATTTATTTATTTGAGTTTTTTCTTCCCATTATTTTTTCTTTATTAAGAGAATTTTTATTCATTTTACATACCAACCATCCTCCTCTCATCCCTCCTTCCAACCCCAGCCTCTTCCCCCAGCCCATCCCTCCATCCCCTCATCCGAAAAGTTTGTAAGGCCTCTGATGGGAAGTCTGCAAAGCCTGGTACATTCAGTTGAGGCAGGTCCAAGCCCCTCCTCTCTGCATCAATTGTCTCATTTATGCAGAGGGCCTGGTCTAGTCCCATGCAGGCTCCACAGCTGTTAGTCTCAAGTTCATGAATTCCCACTAGCTTGGTTCAGTTGTCTCTGTAGGTTTCTCCATCATGATCTTGATGCCCCTTGCTCCTAGAATCCCTCTTCTCTCTCTTCGACTGGACTCCCAGAGCTTGGCCTGGTGCTTGGCTGTGGATCTCTGCATCTGCTTCCATCAGTTACTGGATGAAGGCTCTATGATGACAGAGTATTCACCAATCTGATTACCGGGATCGGCCAGCTCAGGCACCCTCTCCACTATTGCTAGTAGTCTAAGGTGGGGTCATCTTTGTGGGTTCCTGGGAACTTCCCTAGCACCAGGTTTCTCCCTAACCCCATGATGTCTCCCTCTATCAAGATAATCTAAGAGAATTCTTGAGCAGTTGCATCTGCAGCCTACATCTTCAAAGACTCAGATGTACAGAAGACAGAAAAGGACTGTGAAGGCCTTCCTGGGGAAATGTGACTTGAAGGAGTAATAATCATATAGCAAGGCATATAGAGAGGAGGGTACCGACCTGGCAGTCAGAGGGGACAACACCTAAGAATGTGGTTTGGGAAGCTGCATAGTCTTCAGACTTCTGTAGCGACTTTGCAGATGCACTAGAGAAATATATATATCAGTATTTCCGTTTTTATTCTAAGGCATGTCTACAAACAGCTCTCCCTTGGCTCTAAGACAGGCATGTTTTTGCTGCAGACTCTAGAGAGCACGTTTTGTAAAAACTATTCCTTGAGGCAAGCTGCATGACTTCTTTTGTCGAAGACCACCTGTCTGTCTCTATGGAAGTGCATAGCCTGGTCTGACCGGGAGGAAAACGAGTTTGAGGCCTTTCCCCTTGAATTACAGTGTTTTAAACAGCATTCCAGGCAGCCTCAGAGCGGAATAAAAAGGCTGTTAAACCCGCCCAGGCAGGGGAGGAAAAAGGGCGAGCCACCAGAGACTACTCACTGCGCATGACCGGCGCGCGTTGCCACGGCAACCAGGAAAGGCGTACCCGGAAGTCTTAGCTCCGGGCGCCCAAAGACGCCAAAGATCATGCTCTGTCGGCTCATCTTTATCGGTTCCAGGCCCATTTTTGACCAGAGCAAAGCAAATGAGGAACTGAGTAGGAGGCATGGAATGGTCATCTGCTCAAGAGCCAGGGGACTCAGAAGAGCAAGGAGGCCCGGCACAGACGGACCTATGTGCCACTCAATTTTCTGAAGAGATCCTCAGGTCTTGTACTGATGAGGTACTGAGTAGTTCTGGTTCCATCAGTTCCTCCGGAGAACAGCAATCCCGTTCCCACACTTCTGAGAGCCCACAAGGGAGTGAGACGCCGACGACAAGTTCAGAAGAACAAGACGAGCAGCCAGAACTTTCAGTCTTACAGAAGGATGAAAATAAACTGACTGAAAAGTGGATCAACCACATCAAGAGCAAAGAAATTAATTCCCAAAGATACCAGCCCGACAGCAGACTCCCAGCAGAAACCCCTGCGGGATCCGCCGAAGAACTGAGTGCCCTGACATCCTTTTGTTCTGCTAAAGTAAACCTGATCCACCAGAGAGAGGGTTCAAGAGCCAAGAAAAGCAGCAGACAGAAGAGACTGCAGCTCAGATGGACTGCAGAGACTTCAGAGGTAGATGCTTTCCATTGTCCTGTTCCTGATGAACTGTTGAGCAGAATCTATTTGAAGAACACGAGGGCGACTCTGGCGCAGGTAGAGGCAGTTAAGCAGCACGTTTCTTCACAATGCCCCAGTTGTAATAGCAAGCGGGCAGAGCTGGCTCTGTCTGACTTCCTGAAACGAAGGAAGACTCTGCTGGAGTCGCTTCTACTCCAAGAGAAAATAGACGAACACCTTCGTACCACAGACTTTCTCACCCGTGTTGGGGAAGCACATCGGGGCCTCCCCAGGCTTTCAGATGATCCCAGGATCATCTGGAAGCGAGTGACTGAGAAAATTCAAACGAGAAACTCAGGCTTTGGAAAGGCAGATTCAAAGCAGGTGTAAGATGACTCTACTACTTCTCAACCCACTCATGCAACTAGATAGGAGGCGCTGACTGCTAATGATGAGATATAATGTGCCTGACCAGGGGATGGTGACTATTAATGATTAATGATAATGTGTGATGTGCATGCATGTGACTGTTGTGTATTTGAGTAATTACCATCTTTTGTAGAGTGACGTTAGAAACTGATGTAAGATTTTTTTTCTTGCTTCCTTCACGGAGATCTAAATAATTCCATCCAATAGATTTTTCACATTATGGAAGATAATTGGAGTAGTTACAAAACCTTTATAACCTGGGAGAATGATAGATAATGGGTAGTTTGGAGTGGTGGTTGACAGTACAGAGAGAAAGAAGTAAACAGATGTAAGATAGTTAGGAAGCATGACAAGCTGGTTTTGGTGATGAAATGGCTGTGGGGATTTAATAAAAGCTACATGTCAAAATGGCACCAGAATTCTGACTTGTATATTTGATACTTGAATGAATGGTAATTTCCTTAAGAGAGTAGGCTGCTTAATTTCTGTTAACTTGACAAAAACTGAAGTCACCTAGGAAGAAGGAACATCTAGTTGAGGAACTGCCTCTGTTACAGTGGCCTATGGGAATGTGTGCATGGGGGGGGGGTGTTTACTTAATTAATGATTAAATTGGGAGGGTCTATCTCACTGTAGGTGATGCCATCCTTGGTCTGGTAGTCTTGGGCTTTGTAACACAGCAAGCCAGGCAAGCTATGGAAAGCAAGCCAGTAAGTCGTATTTTCTCATCCTTTCTGCTTTAGTTCCTTACAAAATATTTTTTGCCTTCAATTCCTGTCTTTGCATCCCTCCATTGACAATTACCAGTAAACTAAATAATTTCCTCCTCCAAGCTGGTTTTGCTTAATATTTCCCACCCCCAGCAACAAAAATGTAAACAATGCAGACATTGGTACCAACGAGTGAGATGTTGCTCTGACAGACCTGACCATGTTTCTTGGGACTATTGTGGGAGGAGTTGAGAGCTTTGTACCAGGAAAGAGGCCTCTGAATGCTCAGAGCTTAAAGACCTGTTGGGAGAGCTTGGAGGATATGGATGTTGAGAGGGAGGCAGTTGTTGGAGGCCTGGCTTGTAAAGTTTTAGAGGGAAGCCAAGACCCTATCAGGGATGTTTGTGGGATGTTCTGAATCAATAATCTGACAAAGGGTCAGTTGTGCTGGTTTCTGTCAGCTGACACAAATGAGAATCACTTAGGAAGGGGAATCTCAACTGAGGAATTGCCTCTATCACACTGGCCTTTGGGCATATTATGGGGGCACATTCTTGATTAACGATTCATGTGGGAAGGCCCAGCCCACTTTGAGTAGTGCCATCCTTGGGCAGGTGGTACTGGGTTGTAAGAAAGCAAGCTGAGAAGTCCATGGAAAAGAGGTCAGTAAACAGCATTCCTCCAAGGTCTTTGCTTCAGTTCCTGCTTTTAGGTAGTTGCTTTGAGTTACTACCTTGACATCCCTAAATGATGGATATAAGCCGAATAAATCCTTTCTCCACCCTAGTGGTTTTGAGTGAGTATTTTTATTCCAGCAACAAAAATCCAATAATACAGATAGGAACACTAGTACCTGGCAAATTTGAAGGAATGATTGGATGTAATTCTTTATATCTAAGCAGTGTGAGATTTATTTGAAACGTATACACTGAGAATGTAAAGAAACGGGTTATTTGTACTTACAGTTAACAGGAAAGGTCTAGAGGTTAGAACACAGAGACTAGTGGGGAAATCATTGGTACATGGCTAGAAATTGAAGCCATAGATGGGCAATCTTTTCTAAAGTCAGGAGAGAAAACAGAAGCAGGATTAGTTCCAGCTTCTGAGAAATGCCAACCATGAATGATTGGGGGAAATAATCATGCAACAGTAAAGCAATGAAATACAGAATATGAATATATACTGCATGAAAAGTTTAATTGCTGACAGGGGAAAGGTGAAGCCAAGGGAACACATAAAGTAGTTGTTTAAAAATCCCTTTTGGTCAGAATAATTTTATGAATCTTTTGTTCACCCTAATTTCTAATCTAAGGAAACTATCATTTTTTGATGAGTACTGTGCTATTAATGGGGAAAGTTACATGTATCCTGGTAATTGATGAGTACTGTGCTATTAATGGGGAAATTACATGTATCTTGGTAAGTCATATTTACGTTTTATTTCTTAATGAAAATAAAAAATGCTAGCATGGGTGGCATTACCCTGAGATTGTTTTCTACATGTCATATGTCTAACTTATTTTAGTGCAAGAGAAATGTTTTTGCAAGAGTTAGCTCACAAGATTCTGCAGCCATTGCCTTACAGTTTTGTTCTTTGAGCTAAGCCCTCATTTATGTGTAAATGATCTTTTTTTTCCTGGAAAATGTCTTCTTAGTCATTCCCAAATAAAATGGAAAAAGTCATTGCCACTTACATAATAACTTTTCAGTTCAAGTCCATATTACATCATACTTTCTCTTTGCCTCTCAATAGATTCACATTTTATACAATCAAAACTCTGAATAATGTTCCATTTAGAATTCCCTGTAATAAAGGTCAAACTCTTCTCTATTCGTCAACCAATCTGGAAACCCTAGAGTCATCTTTCGTTACTCCTTTTAGAATCATCTCAACAGCAAGCTGTTTTCAGCAACAGTATCAGATAGGTTCTCTTCAGCATTTTTGACCTGCCATTACTTCTCTTTGTAGAATCTTTAACTTTCTACTCCCTCTTTTGCTACTCTCCACACTTCCACTTAGTTTCAGTTATTTTTCTAACACATGAATGTTTTTAAGTAATTCTGTTAATTAAAAAATAAAAACTCAAATTGACTTAACCTCCATTACAGAAATAGTTCAAACTAACTGATAAGTACACAGTGGTTCTTTCACAGCTGACCTAGAGTTATCTTTCTTCTTCTTCTTCTTCTTCTTCTTCTTCTTCTTCTTCTTCTTCTTCTTCTTCTTCTTCTTCTTCTTCTTCTTCTTCTTCTTCTTCTCCTCCTCCTCCT